TTTTTTTTTTGTTTGTTGTTGTTGTTTTGTTTTGTTTTTTGTTTTTTGTTTTGCGATTGAATCGTAAAAAGTAACTATAATGTATTTTACTTCAATAACGCAGTGATTGGTTGCCCAATGGGCATCTTTAACGATACCACGGCCATCTTCAATCGCAAGGCATTACGGGTCATTCAGGAGACAAAACCAAACTAAGATCCTGTTACGGACCCCACGATCTTTGAGAATCTTTCTCAGTTGTGGAACGGTCCATTTTTAAAAATTCATCTCTTGTGAAAATGCCTTGTCATGAATCGTAAATATCAGTCGACGCCATTACTGTAACAAAGCTTTACATTTGCCCCCTAGATGACCCATATTGTCTTGTCATTCAAGATGGCCGCCGTATCGTCGAAGTAGTCCATTCTTCCAAACCAGTGTCTCATCCATAAGCGCTCGAAAGTGCGCCCTTTACCTACCCTTCGTGTATTTTGGGCTTGGTATCCAACATGCAACAAATCCTTCACAAACCATTTTTGAAATAGCTCAATGTGGACCAACAAGCCAGTTGAATGTGCTTACCTTTTTTTATTTCAGGTGGTTGCCAAGTCCCTGATGGTGCCAGCTTTCTTTTAACCAAATGCACAATGCCATATTCCATGACATCCGAAGACGAAAACAGCTACCTACCAGGATGGGTAGCCACCAACACATCCAATCCTTCCCATGATCCTCTTTGGCATTACAGCAGCGCAACTCAACTACGAGGCTTTCCTGTGATTGGTAACATCGAGACGTACTCTGGTGGTGGATATGTGCTGAAGTTTTCTCCGATTTACTACAAAGCGTTACAGCAAATCCACAAGGCTAAAGACCAGTTGTGGATTGATAAATTTTCCAAGGCTGTTTTTGTTGAATTCAACTTGTATAACCCATCAAGCAATCTCTTCACTGCTTGCATAGTATTGATAGAATTTATGCAATCGGGAGGCTTTACTATCAAGCACGAGTTCCTCACGTATCGCTTGTATCGATACGTCGGAGACTTTCAGCTTTTCGTCGTCGCAATGGAAGTGTTCTTTCTCCTTTTTGTCACCTACTTCACCTATCGAGAAGGAAAAAGTATATACAAGAATCGCTGTCAGTACTTCAAGTCATCATGGGTCTGGATCGAAATTATCATTATCATATTATCTTGGGTCACTATTGCACATTATTTTATTTGCTTTGGGATAAGAAAATGGACTCTACAACAGTATCTTAGCGACCCTAGTAACTTTACAAACTTTCATTATATTTCCACCTGGCAACAGGTGTTTGAGAACTTCATGGCTTTGACGGTGTTCGTTGCTTTCTTCAAGATTATCAAGCTTTTGAACTTTAACAAAAGAATGTACATCCTTGCGCACACCTTGAAGCATGCAGCAAAAGATCTTGGCAGCTATTGGTGCATCTTTTTACTTGTTTTCTTTGCGTTTTCTCAGCTGTATTTTCTCATGCTCGGGAGCGAATATCTTTCGTTCAGCACCTTTATTCGTTCCATGGAAAAGCTTCTCAGTGTCATTCTTGGCAAATTCAGTTTTGAGGAATTCATGAACCCTTTCAGGATTCTAGGAGCTATAACTTTCATCCTTTACATGATTGTGATGAAGTTTTTGCTCCTCAACATCCTTATAGTTCTCGTTATTTCCTCGTTTCAAGAGGTGAAGCAATCGAACAAAAAACTCAAGAATGACTTTGAAATAGTTGACTTTATGGTAGAACAACTGAAAGCTCTTTCGGGGATGCGTTTTCTTAATAAACGAGGATTCACTATGGACAGAACTGATACCATTTCAGAATCTATCAGTGATAGAGAAAACCAAACTTTCGATAGTTCACATGCACATGGACAGCTCAACGAACTGCTACTTCGCGTTGATAAATTAGAGTCATTGCTAATGGAGCAAGATTATTGTGATACGTTTGATGAATTGTTGTACAAGTATTTGTGTGTTCATAGACGCGGGAAGACTCTGGTTAAAGAAAACGATGCGCGTAAAAAAACGTTTGGGGATCGCCTCGAAATCACTAAAACTAGAATCTAGTTTAACAAGGTCGTGGGAAACATAAGATTTCAAGGGAATTTTATAAATCCATTTGCGAAACTCTGTAATCCATCGTAGAAGTAGTGGAACTTTCTATTTCGCTTACAGACGAATGAACCAAATAAAACATTGTACATGGTGGTCATGTGTTGTGTTATATCATCCAACATGGTGGTCATGTCTTTTGTTATATCATCCAACATGGTGACCATGTCTTTTGTTATATATCATCCAACATGGTGGTCATGTCTTTTGTTATATCATCCAAAATGGTGGTCGGCTTTTGTTATATCATCCAACATGGTGAATATGTCTTTTGTTATATCATCCAACATGGTGAATATGTCTTTTGTTATATCATCCAACATGGTGGTCATGTCTTTTGTTATATCATTCAACATGGTGGCCATGTCTTTTGTTATATCATCCAACATGGTGGTCATGTCTTTTGTTATATCATCAAACATGGTGACCATGTATTTTGTTATATATCATCCAACATAGTGGCCATGTCTTTTGTTGTATCATCCAACATGGTGGTCATGTCTTTTGTTATATCATCCAAAATGGTGGTCATGTCTTTTGTTATATCATCCAACATGGTGAATATGTCTTTTCTTATATCATCCAACATGGTGGTCATGTCTTTTGTTATATCATTCAACATGGTGGCCATGTCTTTTGTCATATCATCCAACATGGTGGTCATGTATTTTGTTATATCATCCAACATGGCCACCATGTATATTTTGTTAAACACCCAACATTGCGGCCATCCCATCTACAATTCTTTCACTTAGTTTATCCATTTATTCTACTCAGTTTACAAATACTACACGCTATTATAAAAATTGTCCAATTTTACAACCTAATAAGAAATAAGCTAATATTTTTTGTATATAATTAATTCATATTTGATTATCCTAATAACATGAAAATTTTCAAATACCTACAACTTCAAAATAATTCAATAATAGTCAAACAAATTATAGAGCAGTGTGGTTTGCGTATATCATGTTTTAAAAATAATTCAATAACATTTCTTCAAAATCGAAGGAATAATAAACAAATGCCTGGAAGCTGGATCTAATAGTCCTAACATCTTTTACTTTAAATTTTAAGCAATTCATTGAAACCTTTTAGCTCTTTATTAATAGCTCAGTCGAACATTTCTTAAATTTCAGTTAGGTCGAGAGATTGTCAACGTTTGTAAACTTATGAGTCTCACAAATTACTTAACTACAACTGATATTTTACCTTACAAATGCATTGTTTTCATTTAAATTTAAGTTCTAGTATATTTTTGCATATTGTCAATTATTTCACGTTGGTAAATCTCTGCATTTTTGAAGAATTGGAATTTAGTACTCCCAGACGGTGTCTTTAACTTCAGTTCCTTTGGCATTAAAAGTACCATTTTGCTCTCCTTTGAGGTAGCATCCATTCGGGGACTTGATACATAGGCCRTTACGTCCTCTCAATTCAATTTGGAACCTATCTGCACCAGTTTCATCAGCAGACACAGAAATGCTTCCATCTTCCTCTGTGCGCCAGTATTTGCCCTTCTTGTTGCAAATGGTGTAGAAACCATTTTCAACCTTCATGCGGAAGACATCATAGGCAGCACGGTTACACTCGAGTCTGTTGGTGGTACCCTTGCACCCAACGAACCCAAATTCTCCACGGAGGACTAGAAGTGGTCGGTTAACAAGCTCAACTGTGAATAAACCTGTGGCAGAGACTTCATCAGTGCCATCAAGAAGTTGCCCATTGGCTTTGGCAGACAGATATTTGCCGGAGTTGGCTTTGAAGGCGATTTGGTTGCCATGCCATTCCAGCTCAAACTCAGCCTTGGGTGTGATTTCACTGGAGGATGCTGTTGCCACACTACCATTGGCCAACCAGTACTTCTCGTTGTTACTTAGGAATGACACCTTATTATTCTCCTTGTTGAAAATCACTTGGAAGATTTCAGTATCTGTCATTTCTGCTTGATTGGCTGTTACATCCATACCTGAAAACATGAAAGATAAGCAACATTTAGAGGGATTACTTCTGGATAATTATTCAGTAAATAGAGAAGTGAAAAATGAAAAATTTTGGAAAAAATTTGAGGGGGGAGGGATGTTGGCTGTCTGGCTGGTGGTTGGTTGGTTATTAAGTCAATGGATGATACRATTCATGGATAGATGGGTGGGTGGATGAGTTGATGATTTGATGGGCAGATAGAATGATGGATTGATGGATGAGATGGATGAATAAATGGATGGGTAGGTAAGATGGGTGGGTGAATGGGATGGATGGGTTGTTGTTTAGCTGAGTAACTTCTTTTGCCATAGAACAAACAAATTGCTTATGCCCTACAAGGAAACTATAGTCAATTAAAAAGCACTGGTATGTTATCAGGGTTAAGACTGAGACAAAAAAGACAACATGAAAGAGGATGAAAGTAAAAAAAGAAGCTGTAGTGCTGGTATGTCTCATTTTTCAGTTTCCTTAATATGCTGCTAAGTAATAAACACATTGCTCAATAGGAATTGTTTATGATTTGAAGCTAATATACCTCAAGGAGCATTAGTTAAAAAAGTATTCCATTAGGTAAATTTTGTGAATCTTTTTAGCAACTTTGTTTAAGGAAAATTCGATAGTAAAAACAAAATACAAGCAAAAAACTAAAGAGACAGAAAGAACAATATGTCATAAGTGGTTGAATGAGTACTGAAGCTGGCAAATGAAGGTCAGATCCAGGGGGAGGGGAGTGAATTGGGTGACTATTCGTGATCACCACTATGAACCTCATGAAGAAAAATAAATAAGAATAAAGACCTAAAAAGGGCACTATGTGATGCCTTTTTAGGTAACAGTCACCCCCTTCAAATCGTTCTGGATCTGCCACTGCAAATACATACATTCATGCCAATGTCAAAAGCCATTTCGCCATCTGGAACAACATAGTTGTTAAAGCCAGGCTTACTTTGTATAAATAAAAGAAAAAAACATTTCCTACTCAAATTAACTCTGGCTTAAGAGCTTATCATGAGGATTTCCTTAAAAGACAATACATATTTTTTGTTATTTTAGATTGCAGCCTTCTCCAAATCATATGACATGTAATTAGATATGGTTTGGCAAGTGTTGGACAAAAGAATTGGCACTGCACCACAGAGTTGAATGGATTTATCATTTGTTAGATAGTCACTGGACCATCTTAATTGACATTTCCCTAACAAAAGACTAAACAAAATGACTTAGGCATGTTTTCTCTGCCACTATTCTCAAAGACAAGTTTCAGTCAATTAGTGTTTAATAATTTTCATCTCTGAGACTACACTTCCTAATAACATGCTTGTTTTATCATTTGTCTCCTGTCCAACAGACTGACAACAGCCAGAATGAAAATGTAATTTTGATTAATTGAAACCAAAGATTAGTTCAGTTAATCTAATACAGAAGACTGTATTAAAGAATATTCGAATAAAGGAAAGTTCCTTTTCAAAGATAACAATTACTAAATCTGTACTAATAATGCCTTAGTCCTTTCTGTATTTTATGTCTGTACATATCAATTTAAGATTCCAAGTAAGTGATTTGCATTTCCTTTAACTAATTTTTTAACTAACTTCTTTTTTTTTTCAATGAAAACACAAACTAGGCATATAGAAGCAGTATTTTTTAAACATTATTTATAACATATAATATTTATAATAATTTTTTCCTATTAAAAAAAAATCCTTAATTAGTTTGGTCGTTGAGATGCCATATTGTCACGACCCATTATTTTCCCAGGAAGTGAGCAAAGCTGATACTATGCAACCCAAAACTCCAATGAGAAACTGATGTCCATATAAGGCAATATTCTGCTCCCATGATTAGTCTTGTCTGCATCCAGCTTGAGCAAAAACTTCTCTTCAACAGACCTTATTCCTAGTGGTATAATTTTATCCCATTTCAGATCATGTGTCATTCACTGGAGTATTTTTTCTTTGTTTAACAGTTGTGTATGAGAAGGCACATGAATTTGGAAACAATTCAAATAAAGAATCTTATTCTTTAAGGAATTATGTGGTCTGAAATGAGAAAATGTTACACCACAGGTCTACAGCTGTATTAAAAGTATGTACACTTTCACTTGAATAAAAAGTTATAAAAAATCTTTTCTTAGACATTTTTTGTGGTTATAGTTAAATGTTATAATCAAAAAAAGGGTTACCTTACATATACATGCATGATATTTGACAAGGCTTTTTTTAGCTACATCTTACGATATCATTTACCATGTAACTTTATATTCAAGCTACAAAATCAAGTCGAAACACATCTAACCTTTATTTTTTTATAGCAACTTCATAATTAAAAAATAATTACTTTTGGTCTTCTGAGGTTCAAGTAAAGGTTCAAGATAAAGATACTCAACTTGTTTTTGGTGACTAAATATTCATATTCACATTCATTTGCTCCCATGGAAGTAATCGGTAATACTTTAAGAATCTTGAGTAATCCTCAAGCCTTTTGGTATTAAAAATATACTTTATATTAATACTGCTAATATTGATTGGTAGCAATTTTAAGGTAGAAAATTAGTTGAAGTTTGGTCTTTCAGTAAATAAACATTATGAGCAACTTTTGCGAGTTCATGACTTTTAAATATGCCAAAAGACTTCTCGTCTTATAAGAACAACCATGCAATAATCCAAAACAACAATATGTTGCTTTCTTCCATTTAATGAATAAAGTAATACAAGGAATAGAAATAATGGACAAAAAATAACAGAAGCTTTTCATCAATTTGCTAAGAATCAAGTTTTAATGGCTACAACAGGGCTCTAAATTATCACTCTTTCTGCATAACGGTTTCATGCAAGCAAAAATATAATTTTAACCTAGATTATGGTTTATTTTTAACTTGGGTTGCCAGCTGACTCACTAAAAATTGGACTGCACTTTGACCATAATGGCAGATTATTATTTCAAGCCCTTAGAGTTCCAGTCTTTCAATACAAAAGAAAAGATGTCATATTTGACGGCAYACTAAAGTACATATATTTTACTGGAAGATAAGAAAAATTTTGAAAAGATTGTAACACAATGATAACAATGTTTTGAAAGCCAATATATTCCAGAACCTCTTAGTATTTCAGCTGGAAAATTAATATTAAATGATCTAGTAAATGAAGTTTATGAATGCTTGACAATATTGCTTGATGGGAGACATGCAAATATATGTACATTCTTTATATAGAAGTGACTTAAATAGCAGCATGACAAAGGTTTTATTTAAAGTATATTGGTATATATTTTGTAATGAAAATAAAATACTTTAATAAATGGAAAAACTGGTAAATTATTTTTTGGGGAAGAAAATTAAAATTTATCTCAAATTTTTGAGGTAAATTAAAGGTTATTATGCTAGAAAACTACAAAAAGATTTCCTGTGATAAGGAATTACTAGAGAAATTTAAGAGAAAAATCAAACTTAAAAGGTATATATAGTTGAGAAATAATTTGCAATTAGTCCTTGAGTCCAAATAGGCTATATACTCATAGACCATGTGGCAAGAGGACTAATCGTTTTTGTCGAATTCAACTAGTCGGTCAAATATATTGATGCAAACAAGTTATAGCTCATCCAATCAGAATGCAGCATTGATGCTTGTTGAATTTGACTAATTCCTAATACACGGCACAAACATATTCAAACTTTGTTGCTAAAAAAGTAATAATTAAGGTATGAATTATTAATACTAACAACACAAGGTTACAATTAAAATGATACAAAAAATAATATAAAACAAGGCTAAATGCTATGAATGCAGCATTTATATTGCAATAAAAACATTTTTTTTTTTGAAAAAAGATAAAAATTAAAAGAAAAAATGAAAATCAAATGGATACAAATGAGATTAAAATATTGAATTTTATAATTATTTCAATTACAGCAGTTCTTTAAATCAAACAATTCCTGGGGTGATACAAAATACAAAAATAAACTACAAACTGTGATTATTGACACTCCTAAATGAATATAATTGGCTCAAAAATGCATAAAAAATATATGTAAAATTTCAAAATTTGGGATATTAAAATAAATTAATCTAATATACAGCTTTGAACATATTGTCTTGAATTTGAATAACGATGTAATTGCTTGGAATGTCTTTGAATTCTTTGTGATGTTTCGATGTTCTTTGATTATAAGTCTCTTTATAAGAATTAATAAGAAATTTAATCGACTTCTCTGATTCCACCACAAATATTACCACAAACATATTGTTTCTGACTTCCTGCGATGCAAACATCGTCAAAGACGTGTAGTGAATGAGGAAAACGAAACATAAAACCAATAACAATAAAGTATTTAAGTCTAAGTTGTTTATTATTGTTGCTGAAGGCGTTGCAACATGGGTGGATTACTATGTACTTTAAAAATATTCTCACAATAAGTTTGCTATCAAAAATATTATTTATTTAAATCATATAAAAATATCATTGCCTGTCGACGCCTCTTTCATCAAATGAGAATAATAAAAATATAGGTCATGAATATGTTGTGGGGGACGCACGATATAGTGTTCAGTCGAAAATGTTTACGCGCTGGAACGATACGTCTGGTTATAAATGGTTATGGAATGTTTGACGAAACCGCCAGACAAGATTCCGCAAGCTTTCCTTCCCATAGTCACCTCGCAAATTCTTCAACTTCATTTCCGCAAACGCCTAATGATTTAACTCTCAAAGCAACGAGTCCAGACGTGACCCAGATTTAAATATTCAATATACTCTCTCAAGTGAATCGAACAAAGGCATACTACCTTAATAAATGAAAGTATATGTAATCAACTAGAGTACTTATGAGAGTATAGAGCACGCGAGCGAAGCGAGACGGCACGGCTTGTTGGGTTTTTGATGAAGAAATTGATGGTATCATTTGTTTTTGGCACGTGGATTGATTTACATGTCGTTTGGTGTGACTTATGTGAGCAAACACAGTTGATATTCGAACAAAAGGACAAGCAAATTCAGAGATCCCTGTGTAAACACCTATAATGGCGCATTTGCATATGACTGAATAAAGCCAGCAAATTTCCACGTGAAAAATAAAACGCCAGCGCCTACGAGAAAAACAATATTTGTTCCCAAAAAAAATCGGAGGTACTTACTCTGTTTGATTGATATGCGTCTGTCATTGTGTCCAATGAAGGAACACTGTGGATGACTGTCTTCAAGAATGTACAACTCATCTTTGGTAACTGTGTCTTTCTTGCACTGCAATCTTCCAGTTCCAACGGCAGTCAAGTACTTCCCTTTGTGATCTCTAAATGCGATATTTTTTTGATGGAATTCAATAGAGAATTTACACTCATCGGTTAGTTCGTCACTGAGGTCGCCGTTAGACTTGAGGTACTTGTCGTTGCTGGCGACGATCGCATAGGCACCATCAGTAAACTCTAGTGTCACCATCGCATCAGCACCCCATGGAATAATCTCCGAAACTTTGATATCTTGACTCGCTTCATCTAGGTGAGCATAGCGCTTTCTGAGGACACTTTTAAGATTGACTTGAGGGTGCATGGCAAGATGCACGGTCCATAGCTCAGTCTTGCCAATTTTCGCTACACATTTCAGCTGATCCCCTGTTGCCCCGAAGTACGCATTATGCGAGCTCTTCAGTGCCCATTTGCCATCTTTTGTAACTATAGTAAATCTTGCGTTGGGCTCGCGTTCCGTGGCTTCACACGATAATTTCCCCTTCGGATCGGCTGTGAGATATCTTCCTAAGTGACACTTAAAGTAGACCCCTTCATCATTGTCCTGCTCCAATACCCACATTTGTTTCTTTCTAAGGGATGTTCCATCCGCGTTGAGCGTAAATCCAAACGTTTCTACTGTAAGATAACGAGAAGCATGGTTCACCAGACCAATATTCCATGTCGTGGTCTCTGGCATGGTGAAATCTCAAAACCGTTGGATAAAAACGGGGCAAGTTGTGAATTTTATGAAGAGAGGAAGTCTGGACCGTCTGAACTGAACGCGTACACGGCGTATTAATCGGGGTTGTTCAGCGTGTAATACGATCTTTAAGGGAAGGCGTGGATTGTATGGTGAAGAAAAATGCTAATTGCATTGCGCGTCCACGAGGAATAAAACTAAGGAGAACCTGTAAACCAATCAGCACCGACACAATAGACAAATACTAATAATTAGTATTTAAGACTTGTAATCTTGGCGGTGACTCAGAACTTATTGTTGCCTAGGGATTAACAGAGTTTTAAGTAATCTGTGAATGTTAAGGAGTGATGTTTTGGTTGGAATTTGATCTGATTTTCTCCCAACGGTGGAGAAAGATGGATGATTCATTGGTGTTGTATTTTAGATTCAGCAAATGGACCTACGCCTTTGACGTGGCTGGTTCAATATAAATACATTCATTTATAAAACATTTAACAGGTTGTACGCATACTAAATTCTAAAATACTGTATTAATAGGATCACAGTCTTAAGAACAAGATATCCAACAAAGTATTCCTGTTTTGAAAAGAAAACAAAAACCCCAAAATACTTAAAATAATACATATTTATGAGAATTCATTTTGATATAAAGCTTTTTTGATTTAATTTTTACTGAAACAATAATAGAAACGGCTTTGTTGGGTAATACCCTCACGGAAACTAGGATTTTTTTAGACTAATAATCAACATTGTGTAAATCGCCGTGGCTTATGTCTGATGTAAGTAATTTGGAATGTCTTTTCCTTTTTTTTAGACCAATGAATGAGAGATCTTTGGGTTTTCCTTACACAACAGCGGCTATTAATTGTTTTCCAGGATAATGAATTCAAATTTGTGGGATTGCATGTGATAACTCAGCACAGAACTGGAATATTGTACTGAAACAGTGTGCGAACGAAAAAATAGAACAAATCTTGCAAACAAGTTTTACGTCCATAACTGTACATTATATAAGAATAATCATTTCAAATTATCGCTATTATTATGAAGTCTTTTATTAAATACATATTAATAAATATTTAACACAATAACCTTAAAATAATAAGACAGCTTTTAAATTGAATCCACTCCGGTATGTCTGTTTTCACTTTCTTTATAATTTGATGTTTTTCTTTTGATGTTGTAGCCGATATTTTTAACTTGGTTGTTTAAAATGTGCTATTTCTCATGGTCTCAACAAGGGAACATTTTAATGTCTGTTGTCATAATAATCCCTAGCTATGACCAAACAAGGACAAGACGGTCAAAGGTTGAACTGAAGGCCGGCGAGCGCTGTTTCCTTTCAAGAAACTCGACTCTAGTGTCTTAGTTAAGCGCAAGTGCCTTCAAACAATAGATAATCTAATACCAATTGAATCGAAAGGTTAGAGGGCGAAATATTGATAGTCAAAAAGGGTCGTATTGAGATGAGCCAAGTTTTTTCATGCCATGTGGAATTATTCCAGTTGGTGAACARACGGAATACATCTTGGTGCTGAGAAAATACATTATTTCCTTAACACTGGTGCCTGAGAAAATAATTTTACCTTAACAAAGAAGTTACGAGCACTGTGAGTGTTTTCGCTTCCAAAAAATTGATTCTCGAAATATGGTATAAGTTTTCTTGCTAAATGAAGAGGATAATGAAATAAAATAAAATGACTGTGAAATTTGCTTCGTTTAGTGACTGAGACTGAGGAAAATAGAAAAAGAAAATAGAAGACAATTAAATCAAAAAGGAAAACAAGCTGAGAAACTTAGAAGAAAAAATATATAGAAAAAAAGAAAGGAAAAACGATGGAAGGGAGAGAGATGAGAAGGAAAGGAAAGGAAAGCAAGCAAAGCCAAGCAAAGAAAATGAAAATAAAATGAATGGAATGGAAAGGAAAGGAAAGGAAAGGAAAGGAA